AAGAAACAATTTGTATTCTTATTCTAGGGCCAAAGTCAGACCATGGATGGGGCTGTTCCTATCCTGTACTTCTCTTCTCTCTGATCCAAAATAGATTTTGGCTCCCATTTTGATGAGGAGATCCCTTCCAAGCAAGGCATATGGGCATCCGGGGATGATCCTGAATGAGTGAGTTACCCATCCCACTCCCAAGTCCACCTTTCTTTGAGTAGTCCATGGATAGAGCTTTGCTCCTGGTTTCCCTTTTAATCAAGTTTTTCATTCTGACAATGGACCCAGTGGTTGTTTCAAAACAGAATGTTATTTCCCTGTGTCCACCAGAACATCCATGGGCTTCCACTAGACCTTTATGGCTACCCAGGGCTCATGGAGGGGAATTTGGGCCCTGATGCCCCCACTTATCTAGTTCTAGGTCCAGAACCTTTGGGATCTCTCTTTGATTTTTCTTAGGGCATTCATGTTTCCAATGATCTTTCTCTAATGGAGGACAAAATTTTCCTTCAGTGGGAGCAGGCTTATCTTTACTCCTTCTATGATGGAGTTGTTTTAATTCTCTCTCATTAACACTGGTTCAGCTCATTAGAGGCAAAGCACTTTCCCCAGTTCTCTGGACTATATGTCTTCAGGAATCTTCCAGTTGTTGAAAGCTTTTTCAGTTATATCTACCAACTCAGTCAGTTGCTTACCTGCTAAGTTATCAAGACACTGAAGTTTCTGACATATATCAGGAACATCTTGAATAACAAAAGCGATATCAATGGGCGACTGGTGTTTTCTGGCTTCTAGATAAAAAAAGTGTAAGTCCTTTGTGTTTCTGTGGGGAAAATTTAAAAAGGCCGCCACAGCGGCGCAAGCCCACGGCGGGGCTTCCGCCTCCGTGGCGGGTCCCACATTAGGGAGGAAGATCTTATGGTTCCAGCAGCCTGAGGGCCTTGGCAGCGGCAGGCCCCAGTAACACGAGGAAGTCCTTGGTTCCAAAAAGGTTTATTGTCATGGCAGATAATAGGTGGATCTAGGAGTACCCCCCAAAAACTCAGGGCAGTCCCGAGTTATATAGGGAGGGAGAAAGGGGGAGGATTAGGGGAGGATCTGGGGGAGGAATGTTTAATTTGCTCTGCCCTCTGGCCTTCATTAGTATGTAAATCTCTAGGGCCTGAGGCCTATAGCCTGGGTGATTCTATGGAGATCTATGTGACTGTTTTTCAGAATCCTAGATGATGGGGGGGACCGAACTCCTGCCGGTTCTCACACAGAATTCCACGGAGAATCTCGGGGTTCTAAGTACCTACTCAACCATGACCCAAGATACCCTTATACAGTCCCACATGTTTCAAAAAGTTTCTCTAAATATTCTCTGGGACTCTATTTCTTTCATCACCCAGCTTATTCTGAGATAAATTTGTGAGCTAACTAGCAGCTTCCCCAGGCCCTCCTATCAGAAAGTGTCTGTAGACCCAGACCTTCTCCATACCTTCAATCATATTGACATCTCAGTACTATCAAACCAAAGGGAAAGCTGCATCGATATCAGCCTGGACCTGAATAGGTTGCCCATTTGCTTCCAGAATCAATTTCTGGGCAGCTCCCTTGATTCTCTCTCTCTCTCTTCCATTATGGAAGAGATTTGAAGCAGTTCCTGATGGTGAGCCCAAGTGGACTAGTGAGTCAGCATGATTGATTTCAGATCTGTGAGAGCTGATAATCTTTCTGATAATGGGGTGGTTCTTCAATTTCCATTTGGAACAGTTATTACTGTCAAATGGCACATATGTCATAAACTGTCTCCCTTGAGTAACTGGGAGTTCCATAATCTGGATGGCCAGGACTGTAATGGAGTCAGCCCTCTGGGCAAAAGGCTGACTGAGTATAAGCAAATCTGAGTATGGGTTGCACTCCAAGTAGAGACAGGAGATGATTCAGGGACTGGTCCTTTGTCTGCATGTGATTACTTGGCAGAGTCAGCAGTGGCAAGGGAAGGGACATACAGAGGGAGACAGGGATCCCCTTCAGAGGCAGAGGGAAGAAGCAAGGCAGGAGGCCAAATAGGGTGGGGAGGTACATGGCTGGTGACAAAAAACATCTCATCCAATCAGGAGGCTTTGATGATGGTTTCTGGATTCATAGTAAACAGCGTTTACCCTGTAAATGTGGGAAGATGAAAAGTCTCCTTCACAGGCCATCCTACTTTATAGGTTTATTTATTCCTACAAAAGATGGTTAGTTTGCCAGAATGGACAACCAGACCTGAGTTTTCCATGACTTGGCAGAAGTCCTTAAAATGGTAAAGAACCAAGCCCAATAGGATACGCTGTGGCTCTCCCATCTAAAAAATAAATAAATAAATAAATAAATAAATAAATAAATAAATAAATAGAAAAATTTATATAAGAGAACAAACAGTACAAAGAGAATATACAAAGAAACACTTCTGGAAAAATGAAAAGGGTGACTCGGACTGTCTTCCCCACTGTGCACAGGAGGCTGGAAGACCCACAGCAGGTTCACATATCAGATGAGAATTAAGAAGTTATCCAGATTTTGGTAGGGAATTGAGAGTGTCCTCTGTAGCTACTGGTCAGGTGACAAAATATGCATCTGCTTTGTCACTCTTGGCCTCCAAATTAAATTCAAAACAGGCACAGAGATAGACAAGACAAAAAACAACTGGATACTCACACCAATCAGAAAATACTCAACTCCTTGGGTCAGAAGTTGCCAGTGAATCCCAGACAAACCCCCACATTTAAGGGTCCATGATTCACCAAAGAATAACATCCACAACTCAATCAGTATGCAGTCATCAATTTGGAAGACAAATGTGTGTGCCTCCAAGGCATAATTAGTGGAACTCCAAGAGGGATAGGTGACCTTTAACTTGGTTAGTTGGCTCTATCTCTAGGGGTATGTTTCTGGAACTGGATAGGACTCTAGTGACTTTTCAGAACCAATGAGGGGGTTGAGGTAGGGAGCTAGAAACTGTTGTCACTCAGAAGCAAGGTATTGGATAGTGGAGCTACTTCTTATTATATGTCTCCAGGCTGTGGTACATATCCAGAGTTGCCCAGTTCTGTGACTTAGACAGAACATAATCCTACTTTTCTAACCAGAGTTTGAAGCCTGTCAAGGAGTCAGCCTGACTCAAGCCACTCAAAGCCAGGTCTTTCCCACCCTAATGGACTCTATCTCCTTAGACCATGAGTCTAATGGATACTTTCACTCTTTAGGTGTTTTAGAAAAGCATTTTGTCCCAGGGAAAGAAAAGAAGCAACTTCAAGGTTCACAATTGAATTTGATCAAAATATGTTGTATGGAATTCTAAAAAATATTAATAAAAATATTTTAAAAATTATATCCTTGCTTTAGACAGGAAAATAAAGGTCTGTCACTTGCCTTACTGAACTCGAAATATGCCCAGTTTTTAAAAAGCATTCTTAGTATATTATAAACTACATTAATATAGATGTCTATAAATTTATTTTATCATATACACAATAAACAAACATTTAATCCATGAGATTTGACTATTAGTCATGCTAGCATTCTTCTGAGTACTCCCTGAAGTGTCCTGTGTATGGTCAATAATACTCTTTAAGTTCAATTAAAATTATTACTGATAAATACTGAAATTTAACTAGCTTGAAAATATGTAAGAAAGTCTGTTAAACCTATATGCTTATATGGGAAGAATCAGTATGCTATAGCCTCAAGATTTCTTCTCACATGATAATATCTGTAAACAGGGGTAAATTTTTCTTCTTTTCTAAGTTGAATAACTTTCTTTCTTTCTTTCTTTCTTTCTTTCTTTCTTTCTTTCTTTCTTTCTTTCTTCTCTCTCTCTCTCTCTCTCTCTCTCTCTCTCTCTCTCTCTGTCTAGCTCTCTTTCTCTCTCTTTATTAAGTGCATTTGATTGTTCTTGTTCTCATTCTCACTCAGGTGTGGAATATAAGCATAGAGACCATATTTCTTGAATGTATTAATACCCGAAGGTAAATAAACATTCAATGGAATAGAAGAAGATTGATAAAAAAAAATCTCAAGACAGAGAATGAGATAGGCTGACTGCAGATCTTCACTTCTCTGTCTGTTCTCACACATTTAATCCCCAGGCTCATCCTGAGATCTGCAGCAGAACACCCACTGCAGACTCCAACCACACCATTTCTAGTGGATCCCACAGACTGCCCCTCCCAAACCTCCTTCTCTCCATAACAAACTCTAATTCAAACAAGCATTCTTTCCTAACCCATAGGCTACTACTGCATGGAAGCAGGTAGCAGGTTGGCAAGTAGGCCTATTGAGGATCTTTACCTCCCCTTCTGTTCCTTCAGATCTACCACCCTAGTCTAATTCCCAGATCAGTAGCAAAACACCTGCTGCAATCTCCCTTTCCTCTCTAACCCTCTCCCCAATGTATCACACAGTTCCTCTCCATCAACCTTCCTTTCTCCAACTCATTCCAGTGTCCCAGCCTCTAACGTTAACAAGTATTCCTTGTGAAAATCACAGCTAAGAGGCCAAGGAAATGGGCAAGCTAACTGAAGAATTTAACCACTCCTTTCCTCCAAGTCCCCAGGACCCATCCATACCTTTGCAATATAATATTTTGGTGAAGCCTCATCCCACCCCCAATCTCATCCCCTGCATATCACACAGACCTTCATCTTTTAACAGGTACTCCCTGCTAAGTCACAGGTCACTTCAGCTAGGGAAGACACCTAGACATAAGCATAAAAATTACCTCAATAACAAGTAGGATAATATGTCTTCACTTGAGCCCAGCAACCCTACCACAATAGACACTAAAATTAATTAAGCAAAAAATTTCTTTAAAAGCAACCACTTTGCCGGGTAGTGGTGGCACATACCTTAAATCCCAGCACTTGGGAGGCAGAGGCAGGTGGATTACTTAGCAGGGAGTACCTGTCCAACCTGGGCCTGAAATCAAGCAACTATTTGGGCCAAAGAAGTTAAAAGAAATATAATCAATTGAATTATATTTGGAGTACTCACTTCTGCACCAGTATACTGAAATTGGAACAATGCAGAGAAGATTAGCATGGATCCTATGCAAGAATGACAGGAAAATTCATGAAGTATTGCATACTTTTGTGAAAAAATTGAACAGAGTGATCCAAGACCTAAAAGTGGAAATAGAAACAATAAAGAAAGCACAAATGGAAGGAATCCTGAAGAAGAAAAAACATATCTACAGATACAAGCATCACCAAAAGAATATAAGAAATAGGAGAGTCTAATGCATAGGAGATACCATAGAAGATATTGACACAACAGTCAAAAAAATATAAAAATATAAAATATAAAAAGCTACTAACCCAAAATATCCAGGAAATTCAAGACATAACAAAAAGCCCAAACCTAAGAATAGTAGGAATAGAAGAGACTGAAGAATCCCAGTATAAAGGGCCAGAAAATATCTGCAAGAAAACTGTAGAAGCAAACTTCCCTCACCTGAAGAAAGGGATGGCCAGAAATGTACAAGAAGCCTCCAGAACACCAAATAGATTGGACCAGAAAAGAAAATCTTCTGGTTACATAAAAATCAAGCACTAAATGCACAGAACAAAGAAAGAATATTAAAAGCTGTAAGGGAAAAAGGCCAAGTCAAATATAAAGACAGACATATCAGAATTATACCAGACTTCTCAACAGAGATTCAAAATGGCAGAAGATCCTGGAAAGATGTGATATATACACTAAGAGAACACAAACACCAGCCCATGCTACTATACCCAGCAAATCACTCAATCATCATAGCTGGAGAAACCGAGATATTCCATGACAACCCCAAATTTAAACAAAATCTTTCTACAAATCCAGACCTACAGGGGACACTAGAAGAAAAACTCCAGCACAAGGAGTGCATCTACATCCTCCACAAGAAACTAATCATCTTACAACAAACCTAAAATGATAGAATCACACATATATAGTACCACCGCCAACAAAAAATTAACAGGAACCAACAACCAATAGTCTTTAAACTATCTCAACATCAACAGATTCAATTATTCAATAAAAAAAAATAGGCTAACAGACTGGCTACTCATGTAGGTTTCATCAGTTTGCTGCATACAATAAACATTTCTCAGTGACAAAGGCAGACACTACCTCAGAGTAAAAGACTACAGAAAAGTTTCCCAAGCAAATGGTTCAATGAAACAAGTTGAAGTAGCCATGTTAACATCCATTAAAACAGACATTCAACCAAAAGTTATCAAAAGAGATAGGGAAGGACACTTCATACTCATCAAAGGAAAAAGTCCATCAAGATGAAGTTTCAATTTTGAACATGTATGCCTGAAATGCAAGGGCACCCACATTCATAAAAGAAACGTTAATAAAGCTCAAAACACACATTGAACCTCACATAATAGTGGGAGACTTAAAAAAACCATTCTCACCAACATACAGGTCATTGAAACAGAAACTAAACAGAGACATAGTGAAACTAATAGAAATTATGAACTAAATGGATATATATATATATATATATATATATATATATATATATAACATTTTAACCTAAAAACAAAATAATGTACCTTCTTCTCAGCACCTCATGATATCTTCTCCAAAACTGACCATATAAATGGAAATAAAACAAGACTCAACAGATACAAGAATATTGAAATATTCACATGCATCCTATCAGATCACCAAAGACTAAGGCTAGATTTCTGTAACAATAAAACCAACAGAAGCTCACAAAATCATGGAAACTGAACAACTCTCTACTCAATGACAACTTGATCAGGGAAAAAATAAAGACAAAAATTAAAGACTTTCTAGATTTCAATGAAAATGAAGACACAGCATACTCAAACTTATGGAACATAATGAAAGTAGTGCTCAGAGGAAAATTCATAGCAATAAGTGCTTTCATAAAACAATGAATTCGAGAGGTTCCTAGGTAAATGGATGGAACTAGAAATTATCATCCTGAGTGAGGTAAGCCAATCACAAAAGAAGACACATGGTATTCACTCACTGATTATTGGATATTAGCCTAGAACCTTGAAATGCCCAAGATGCAACTCACAGGCCACATGAAGCCCATAAAGAAGGAAGACCAAGTGAGGGTGATTCGGTCCTTCTTAGAAGGAGCAACAAAATACTCAAGGGAGCAAATATGGAGACAAAGTGAGGGACAGAAACTGAAGGAGGGGCCGTCTCAAGACCACCCCACCTGAGTATCTATCCCATGTGCAATCACCAAAGGTAGATGCTGATGTGGAAGACAGGAAGTGCATGCTGATAAGAGCCTGATATGGATATCTCCTCAGAGGCCTTCAAGAGTCAGACATATTCAGAGGCAGATGCTCACAACTAGCCATTGAACTGATCATGGGGTTCTCAATAGAGGAGTTAGAGTGAAGACTGAAGGAGCTGAAAGGGTTTGTGGCACCATGAGGAGAGCAACAATACCAACCAACCACAGCTCCCAGGGTCTAAACCACCAGCCTGGGAGCACTTAGGGGGGGATCCAGGGCTTCAGCTGAATATGTAAAAGTGGAGGGCCCTGCTGGGCATAGGTGGAAGAAGAGAACCTTGACCTCATGAAGGCTGGATGCCCCAGGGGGTGGGAATTTTGAGGGTGGGGAGGTGGGAGTGGGGGGGTGTAGATAGAGGTTACATCCACAGAGAAGAAGGAGGAGGGGCGAGGGGATTGGGGGTTCCGAGGGGGTGGTGGGGGATGGGGTAAGGGGACAACATAGGAAATGTAAATAAATCATCCAATTAAAAAAAAAAAAGAAAAGTAAAAAAAAAAAAAAAAAAGAAATTGGAGAGCTTCTACACTTGCAACATAATAGCACACCTGGAAGTTCTAGAACAAAAAGAAGCAAACACACGCTGGAGAAGTAGAAGGCAGGAAATAACCAAATTAAGGACAGAAATAAAAAATTAGAAACAAAGAGAAGTATACAAAGATTCAACAAAACCAAAACCTGGTTCTTTGAGAAAATCAACAAGATAGATAAACCCTCATCCAAACAAACTAAAAGACATAGAGACTGTATCCAAATCAACAAAATCAGAAATAAAAGAGAGGCATAACAGCAGAAGCTGAAGAAATGAACAAAATCAGATCTTACAACAAAGGCATATATTCAACAATACTGGAAAATCTAGATGAAATGAATGATTTTCCAGACAGATACCAGGTACCAAATTTATATTAAGATCACATGAATAATCTAAACTGTCCTATAACCCCTAAAGAAATAGATGCATTCATTAAAAACATCCCAATCATAAAAAGCTCAGGGTCAGATGGTTTTAGTATGGAATTCTACCAGATCTTCAAAGAAGACCTAATACCAATAGTCTTCAAACTGTTCCACAAAATAGAAATGGTAAGAACCCTTCCTAATATGCTATATGACACCACAGTTACTCTGATACTTAAACTACACAAAGACCAAACAAAGAAAGAGAACTTCAAACTAATTTCTCTTATGAATATGCATATAAAAATACTAAATTAAATTCTCAAAAACTGAATCCAAGAACACATCAAAAACATCATTGACCACAATCAAGCAGTCTTCATACAGAGGATGCAGGGATAATTTAATATATGAAAATCTATCAATATAATCCACTGTATAAACAAACTCAAGAAAAAGATCTCATGATCATCTCATTATATGCTGATAAACATCATGAAAAATTCAACACACCTTTATATTCAAAGTCTTGAGTGATCATGAATTCAATTCACATACTTAACCATAGTGAAAGCAACATACAGGAAAGCAACAGCCGACATCAAGTTAAATGAAAAGAACTTGAAGCATTCCCACTAAAATCAGGGACAAGAGAAGGCTGCCCTCTTTCTCCCTATCTATTCAATATAGTACTTGAAATTCTACACGGAGAAATTCGACAAAAAATGGAGATGAAGGGTATCCAAATTTGAAAGGAAGAAGTCCAGGAATCACTATTTGTAAATGATATAACAGTATACAGAAGTGACGACAAAAATTCTACCAGAGAATTTCTACAGTTGATAAGTTCAGCAAAGTGATAGGATATAAAATTAACTCAAGCAAAGTAATAGCCTTTCTATGTACAAATAATAAATGGGCTGAGAAAAAAATAAGAAAACAATACACTTCATAATAGTCACAAATTATATAAAATATCTTGGTGTAACTTTAACTAAGCAAGTGAAACGTCTGTATGACAAGAATTTCAAGTTTCTGAAGAAAGAATTCAAAGAAGGTCTCAGAAGATGGAAACATCTTCCATGTTCATGGATCAGTAAGATTAACATACTAAAAAGGGTTATCCTACCAAAAACAATCTACAGATTCAGTCCAATCCCCACCAATATTCCAATACAATTCTTCACAGACATGGAAATAACAATTTTTATATTCACATGGAAAACCAAAAAAAAAAAAAGAAAAAAAGAAACCTAGAATATGCAAAATCCACTTCTCAACAGTAAAAGAACTTCTATGGGGAAATCAGCATCCCTGACCTCCTGACCTCAAGCTGTATTATGGATTAATCATGATAAAATGTCCATGGTATTGGTACAGATCTATTCGATGGAATAGAATATCCAGAAGTAAACCCACACACTTATGGACATTTGACCTTTGACAAAGAATCCAAAACCATACAGTGGAAAAAGAAAGCATCTTCATCAAATTGTGCTTGTCTAGTTGGTGATTTGCATATAGAAGAATGCAAATTGATCCATATTTATTACCTTATACAAAGTGCAGGTCCAAGTGCATTAAGTACCTTCACATAAAATCATTCCAGAGACCTGGAATGTGAGATGCTACCAGGTCTCTATGGGGATGACCTTAGCCCAAATACCCGAAAGTGGAGAGACTGAACCGGAAAAGACCACCTCCAGTAGGTAAATAGGACCCCCCAGTGGGGAGATGGGGCTACTAATGATTAGTAAAGTTAAAAATTTAATATTCTATCAACTTAACAAATTTTAAAAATTATATTTCTATTAAAATATAAAATTTGAAATTAAAAATGTTACCTGTAACAAATTGTTACTTAGGATATATGTTGTACCCTGTTTAATTTAAATTATACACTTATATTTAGCTTTATA